CTTGATAACTATGTGGTTTAGGATCAAGCGTATCTTCTGGTGAATCAACTGTGTAAAATTTAATAGTTTTTACTTATGAAACAACCAAGTTAGATTGGTGACTAATGAACTCTGGGAGAGATTACCCTATTCTGATCTCATATAGTGGTTCACTCTCTCCGTCCTTTTCAGATCTGCATATAAGTTCCTTTAGAGTTAATCCAGATTTTTTGTTTGATTTAGAGTTCTCGACAGTTTGATAGCTAATGCAATCCAACATCAGGTTTAATTTATTTAATTAATAAACAGATATTTTGTAATTGTGTTTACACTGTGTACAGTCTCTTTCTTTAACTCTGCATAAAACGTTCTTGTCATCCTCCTTCTGGTGCCGTTACTGTTCTTATTATTAACTAATCGTGCACCTGAGAATACTACAGTATGTATTAGCAAAGCTCAGTTTGTTCTTCCTTCAGCTTTATTGTTATTTTTTGAAATTTAAATAATTAATTCTTGTTTGATTATCTCTATATTACAGTATCATGAAAATATTATACATTTAATGAATTTTAGTAAATATTTTTACCGCTACAGCCGAAATAGAAAATAGTTCAGTCATCTTACATGAATTAATTATATTTGTAATCACATGGTTAATATTGAAACTAAGTTTAATTTATTACTTTACAACTTGTTAGAATTTTACATTTTCATTGGAAAAAGACAATGATCTCGCTTAGATTTCTGTAGAAATTACTATATTTTCAAATAACAATTAGGTTTAGGTTTACATTTGGAACAACAGTAAATATGCGAAAATACAAACAGAAATCAACATGAAATACTTTTCAATTAAAAGATATTTGAGTTATGAATGTACAATTGTAGTTGAAATGACCAAGCTCGCATACAAAATCATAATAAATGAGTTTGTATTACAGAACATTTCCATGCTATGTTATTATATTTAATGAAAATATACAATGTTTTATTGTTTTGTTGAATTTTGCACAAAGCTACTCCAGGGCTTTCTGTGCTAGCCATCCCTAATTTAGAAATGATAGACTAGAGGGAAGGCAGCTAGTCAACACTACCCACAGCCAACTCTTGAAAAGTGGGACTGACCGTCACGTTATGACTCTCCCACAGCTGAATGGGTGAGCATTTTCGATGATGGGATTCGAGCTAGCGACTCATGGATTGCGAGTTGAGCACTCTAACCAGCAAGCCACGCCAGGGCAAGATGGTGCGTATAATACCTATTGTTCAGGTTTAAGTATTGATATTTCTTATTCAACGTATACATAGCGTTAATAAAGGTTTACCCAAACATTTGAAATTTTTGTCATTTAGTCAGATATCAAGTAAAGTAAATATAATTGATGCTGTTGTGCTCAAAAATCTATAGTTTGAGATCGACATTAACGTTAATTATATAACATTTTCCTTCAAATTTATAATAAAATTTTGGATAATAGTTGTCATAATAAGACGCTAGTATCATATAACGAAGGCACCATCACCACAGAGTCTAGAATAAACGTGGTATTCAGGTTATGGTATTTTCAGTTCAACTGATTTCTTCGCAATTATCAGATAAGTTTACTTTGTAACAAAAATAAAGTTTTGGTGTGATCCGAATTTCAAAATTCTACTTGGTTTTAAGCTATGTGAAAGATGAATAGACTGGAAATGTTTGACGGAATGTGGAAACAATCTTTATTAAATGTCAAAGAAAAAATAAGATACAGTGTGCGTATTTGCATACTGAGACAAATGTCATCAGTGAGTATGTTGTCAGCTTTCCGCCTTGAATTGGTACAAGAGATCTTGTATGCTCTCTTCGCAATAGCGTCAACACGTAACTGTTCATTCTCCAATGGCATGCGTCAGCTGTAACATACAGACATCATCCACTCGGGCGGCGAAGGATGTTGCAGTCGTTTAGCCTTTTGATACGGATGTGTAACATTATTGCAACATTATCTATGACAGAGCAGATAATGTCTACTATAGAGAACATATGTAACTAGAAAGAAACAGTTTCACAGTTTTCCGGATCACGTGATTATGACAAACCTGTAAAGAAGCAGAATAAATGAAAAAAAAAACATATCAAAATATCAAATGATATGAGCAAATAAGTTTCAAATTATTCACCAAATGCAGATTACAGAAATATTATGCAAAGAATAAATCAAACATTGACAATAAAGGAAGAACAAATAAAACCTGGTGAATAAATACACAATATTTATTTATTTACACTAGTTTTTAAAGTTTGCCAGTTGATTTTGTTTCAAGTCCCGTTTATTCCTTTGTTGTTCTCGAAAGGAGGTGATACATGCTTCCTAATGGGGAGAATGACAAAACATGTTGTGTCAAGATTTCGGTACTGTCCTTCAATGGTTGTCCAGGCGATATATAGAGGTTATAACCTTACCTATGTTGTAATGAGAATGACCAGTCACGCAATAGTACATGTCCCCCTGCGTAAATCTGAAAAATAAGGTACTTTGGATTTAGTAAGTCTGAAACTTTGTCTTTATTAAAATGGGCAGTCTGGAAGTTTGTCATCAAACTATCAGTCTAGTCTGAAACTTGGTCTTGACTTAAATGGTCTGTGCTTCTGTTTCATTACATATTAAGAATTGTACACTTAAGTTTCTCCATGTATCCAGTCTCTATTTTCAGTTAACACTGATACGTTCAGTAAGAGTTTTGGTATTATTCTGTTGATATGTTGATTGAATCTCCAGTTATCAAGGAGACCTATCAGTATATCTCTAGTATTAAAAAAGTTATACACGGATATGTCACAGAGTGGATAGTTAAGGTGAAAATTTACAGCAGTCACTGTCTATTCCAAGTAACATTCATATGGAAGTAAAAACTCAATATATGCCAATTTGTACAAGCATCTATGTCCTCCTTTGAGAAGGATTCGCTCTTTCTCATGGGGGAGAGATATAGAGCTAAAGTGATACGAGTTTCTAGTCGTTAACATGTGCAACCATTACCCAAGTAAAATAATTAGCGCATTTTTTTAACATTTCTATATTCAGTTTACAAGAATTCCTACTGTTAAGTCTCTGGTCGTTTGTTAATTTCCCGTAAAAATTCCTTCCAAAAAACTTCAGCGATACAAGTCCTTAAATAAAACTAGTTTATTCTTTCTCAATACAACTTTGCAATACACTTAATTTCCACAGTCACTTTAACTTCAACACACGCTAGAATTCACAACGATTCACGCACTTTACTTAGGCTTGACTCGATTGTCCGTCTTTATATCTCTCTGTCTGTAATTATTCTTCTCTCGTCACTTCTTGCCGGTCATATATATATATATACAAAATAGAGGGCGTCTGGCAAACACTCAAGCCTTCACGAACGTTCTAGATACTCATTACGTGTTACCAGCGTCACGTGAATTCCGCTGTCGTAACAATACTTTATGTAGAACGCCGGGAAAAAAGTTAGAAATATTTACCTGAATATGTCTACTAAAGAGGTATTCTAAAGTAGTTATCGAAGGTTGAAATTAGTCACTCTTTTAGTCATTACGTACGGAGCGTTAATAATATAATGAATTGTGTGTGGATATTGTAGAAGTAATGGTTAGATATTTAAATACTTATCTATGGTAAATACCTCGTTGGCTACTTTTAGACTGCAGTGAGAGAGTGGGAATCTTTGTGTGTCCTATGTTTTATTAATGTTGGTTTGGTCCTAAACCCAAATATCTGTAATCATGAAGAAGACAAGAAGTTGCTGTATGCCCTGCACCAGTGTTTCTCAACACCAATCTGCGAACAGGTGCCTCTGTTACAAGCATATTTCCGATACATGAGATTTCTAGAAACCAAACAAACAAAAACCGAAAGAATGTTAATGTATAAATTGTGATGTCTTCCCGTTGTACTTGTATTTTAGTGGTCTGCAACAGTTTAGGGAGACAGCGAGCTGGTCCCTGGTATCGAAAAGGCTAAGAAATGCTGCCCTACTCCACACAATTGAGAAGCATGACATAACATTTAACGACAAAAAGGCTGTCCTATCCATTAAAGTAATCTATGCATAAAGAAATTAACGAATGAAAAAATGAAATATGCGAAGGTGGTAAAATAAGTAAATTAGACTGTTGGAAATAAATCACCTCAAAAACTCTATTCTTATTTTTTTTATTTTCTTGGCGACGTTTCTAGCAAACGCTCTCTTTCAAGTCAGAGAAAATCCTATTGGTTACTGATAAGCTACTACAGGACTTTCAGAAAGGAAATAATTACACACATACATAGAATAAAGAGAATGTAAACGAGAGAATTGTACAACTTAATAATGACAATATAATATAACTGAAGAAAATGGTGAAGAACTATCGATAAAAATTAAAGAAATAAAAAACTATTTAAGTTAAAGAACAAGCTTAAAAAATGGAAAGACATACCTTAATTTTCAAAACAATAAAACAAAGTTTAAAAACTAGAAAAGGCTGAAGCGTTCGTTAATACTAAAAGGACTTAGCCAACTGAAAATTATTTGTTTTCGATTATGATTCTTTGATTGGTATTGGAGGGAACTTAAGGGAATGCTTATTAAATATTTGAATGATAAGGACTGACTTTGAGTTTGTATGTATATGTTGTTAATTGCGTAGTTGCACAATAGGCTTATCTGTGCTATGTCCACCACGAGTATCGAAACTCGGTTTTTAGCGTTTTAATAAGCCTTCAGACTTACCGCTGAGGCACTAGGGGGGGGGGGGAGGTCGAGGGAGCTATTATTAAATAATTGCGAAGTTATTCTAGATAATTACAGTTTATATACATTTTGTGTTACAGCTATCATTTATTGAACCCATAATTATTATATAGGATTCCTCCATCTTTTTTTTTTCTTCAATGTATTTATAATTTAAAAAAATTATGCTTGAATAAAGTTGAAAGAAGTAATGCTCTTTCACTTTATATATATATTTTGTTTTAGGTATAGGTATAATTTATTATCATTAGTCACGTACCACGCATGGCTGTTAACATGGGACACTTGCACTTGGGGCTTGTTTGTCCATCTGGAATTTCGAGTTTACTGTTTTTATACGTTACATTTTTACATTTGGATATTTAGAAAATACATCGCAACGGCGCAGACAGCGAAAGACTAAATGGACAGTACGTCCATTATTACCCAAGTTAATCGGGAAGAGGAACAACTTGCCACTTTCCCACCCGAAAGAGGTCAGTTTATCTACAGTAAATTCAAGTGTTTAGCTAGTAAGTTTAGCCAGTTAGGCTTAGCGTACATCTAAAATATAGTATAGTTTAAATTGATTTCATTTGAAATGAGGCCTAGAGACAGCTAACCACTGAATACGTTCTGTCCAGTTTTTTCAGATGACAGTATTATCACTTGTTACACCATTATAACTAGATTTTGCCAAAAAGTAGGAATAATGTTCATAATCACAGAGGAACGTAATAAAAAAGAAAAAACAAAAATTGTAAAGACAAAACTAGGTCAGGCTAAACTTGAGGTTCTAAGTTAATTATCAAACTTAAATTTAAAAGTCAAAGCTCTGCTCGTAATCTGCTCCCACCCACACAATTTACTTGATACTTGTTAAGTCAATAAATCATAACGCACACAAAAGAAGAAAAGATTTTCTGTTAGTGTTACTGACTAGTTTCACCCACGTAAGTGATGGAGTGTTACAATCACCTATACTATAGTATAAATATAATGCAAATTGAGCTAAAACATGTTAAGTTATAATGTCAATTTACACATTTATTATCTTTCATGTCATCATTTCTGTTTATAATTTTATGTCGTTTTTTGAAAAGTGACTAGTAAGTGGAGAAAATAATGTTTCTAAGAATAATAGTAATAGTGTTCATTTTCACTGTGTTGGACCAAGTTGTGTCTTACTCTTACACTGAGAGGATTATCTGCTTTAATACTAGTATCACCCACCCATTTTAAATATAATGAGAACACTGCAACTTTATGTTGATTATACAATGTATAAAATAATTATTATTGGTTTCAAATTAACTAGGTTTTATTTCTAGACATTCAACATTTGCCTTAAACATTTTGGGATGAAGTTGTATGTATTATAACAAGTTTTTGACAGTGTAAGAAAAATCAGGTTGATAATGCGAGACTACTTTTAAAGTATTTCACACTTTAATTACTACTACTACTACTACTACTACTACTAGCCTCTAAAATTATGTACTGTTGGTCTAAAAATCTAGTAAGCTTTGTTTTTTTAATTTTGTGACTATAAACTCATTCAGAATTATGTAGTATATAAAGACAAGTGGTACGTTAGAGTTAAGAGGTTTCAGTTAAATCAAAGTGTAAGGATTTAATACTTATGATGTTTCTCTTTCCCTTCTCATTCTATTTCAAGTTATAGAGGAAACATTTGAAAATAGAATTACCCCAAACTTCAGTCTGTCAATAAGTTTTATCATCCAGAGATTTAAATAACTATTAGCATTTAGCAAATTACCAATCAGATGTGGAGAATAAAGACAAAATTATAATGGATTCAGTTTATTGATAGATTTTCATAGGAAAATGCAGACCAGATTATTTGGATAGTATAATCTAATAAAAACATTTATTGAAATTAAGCTAAAAAGCTTTTAAGGATCTTAATAAGATTAAAACTATAAGGTATAGGGTGTTTGAATAACTATAGCATAAGTGTGGAAAAAGTAAATTTATCTATTAAATATAACATGTAGACAAAAATGGACCATTTGGTCCTTCAAAATATATTCTTGTACATGCACTCACTATTTTGTCAGGCAATCATCAGCTCCCATCTTTAATTCTTAAAATGCAGGTTTGCACAGCTGCTGAAAGCAACTTATTTAGTAAGCCAATCACCCTGCTGTTAAAAAATATATAACTGTTTTATAGCCTGTTGTTCCAAATCTTAAATATGTTTTCTCTGTTCACTTTTATATATGAGTAGGTCAAAATATGGTAGTATAATGTGAGTATATGAAGTATCAAGGAAATATGAAACTGTACTGAGAATGCTGTGATTTTCCAGGAAACTTGGATTTAGACTGTGCGATTTGATAATAGATTAATCTTCAGACTCATTAAGCAACTGCATTCAACTATTTGATTATTCTCATGTAAGACTTGGATATTTGGAATATTGAAAATATTAATTATCAGAAACTAATTTTTAGTTACTTCATTATTTTTGTGACACTAATCATTAAGCTGAACTGTCGTAAGTTAAAAATACTACTGATAAATCATGATGGCAGTATTTAAGTTACTTTGGTAGTTGTAATAATATGGAAAATATTAATTATCAGAAACTAATTTTTAGTTACTTCATTATTTTTGTGACACTAATCATTAAGCTGAACTGTCGTAAGTTAAAAATACTACTGATAAATCACGATGGCAATATTTAAGTTACTTTGGTAGTTGTAATTATATTGAAAATACTAATTTTGATTATTTTTGTGATATTAATGATTGAATTACAGTTTTGATTAATCGATTACATGATGCTTATCAATTTATTTGATTCTCATAAGTAATTGATCTAATTGCCCAGCTTTACTTGGATCAGTTGGACAAACACATGGTAGATAATTGTGAGGTTATTCACTACAAGTCTAAAGAGGCTATGATTTTGTTGTATAAGTCACTAGTCAATATAAAATTTACGGACAACAAGGGACCTGTTGTTCCATCTAAAAACACTCATAGTCAGCCCTTATCATTTAAGTGTTTATCAAACCATCCCTTAACCCTACAGAGGTGGGTAATGGTCAGAGTGCATGTTATCACATTTGTAGATTTACATTCAACATTTCATTCAGCTATTATTTTATAAATGTATGTCATTAAATTTGATATCAAATTGTAGATTATAATTCAGATTTTAGTATAATACAGTAGTTAGATTCTTAATTTGAAACTAAATAGTAGAAAAAAAAAGCTTAATATTGATTTTTGTGTGTCACATGGTACGTGGCCTTCTGGGTTTGGTCAGATTACATTTTATGATGACTACTATACAACATCTATAGTTTTGTATGAATTAGAAACTCAAATGTTCAATATTGGGAGGCTAGAATATATAATACAAACCTCTTACCTTTTCTATTTGCCGAGATATCACAATATTTAGCAAAACCACCATATTGGCTCTACCCATCACTTCATCATTTGAGAAGACTTATCTATCTATGCCTACTTTTATATATCAATAACTTTATAATCAATCAAAAGCTATATATTTATTCTACATAATTCTGTCAGTCTTCCTAAGTTATTTACGAGAGAAATGCTCTTATATCATTGGAAAGTTTGAAGTATTGCTATCAAGGCTATTTTGTGAATAGAAATTATATTTTTTAGACCCAAATACAATTTAGTTAGAAAGGCCTGATAAATTACAGTGGATTTTTTGGTATAGTAATTTATAATATTTTTGTATTCCAAAATGCTTACATAAAGTCTATAAAAATCATTATTTTTCCATCTCCACATATGAATTTGGAAGAGGCTTAGCAAGTATGGCTCACGAGTGCAAACAAGGACTTCGTAGCATCATAAGTAGTAGAGATCATTGTTTTCCAAATATTTTTTATTTGCACATTTGATGTTTTATGTTTGAAGAAAAATAACTGACATTTAAGTATTTATTTGAAAACATTAGTTATATATATATAATGTATGGTAGCCAATATGTTGCTGTATTTTACAAAGTAAGAACTTGTGCTATTTTTCTACTCGTTTACACTGAGGTAGAATTAAAACAAATTAAACAAAACTAAAGACTTGACAATTCAGGAAAAGTTTATTTATGTAATTTGTGAAAGTTTAAGAAATAAATTTATCACTGATCTTAACACATGAAAAAGAACATCTTTACATAAACACCCTGTTGAACTTGCAGTTTGCTGGTGAATAATTTGTTTCTCAAATTACAATCAAGAAGGCTAAGCCAAGAATACTAGCCTAACCAAAATGAGCCATATTTATGTTACTGGAAACTACACATTTATTGTTTACTGTGCAAGCATAATAATACAGAAAACAGGATGTCCATAGGCATTTAAACATATTTACACTTATACTAATACTAGATTCCAACCACCAAGTAAGATAACTAGCACGTTTATTGGATAGGATACAACTTTATACTTTGTACAGAGCCATATCATAAACATTTTCTCTCACTTTTATAAAGTACTTTCGACAATTCTTGTTGTAACCACTGTATTGTAAAGAAGCCGGCAAATTCTATCCCACTTTGTTTTCAGAGCAGTGATCCAAATAGTTTCTGTAGGATACTTCTGCTTTTTGACTAATTGGATTGACCCATACTTTCTACTGGGGAATTGATGAAATGTCTCATGAGGATATTCCCCTGCAAGAGATCTAAACCTTGCTCTACTGCCTGTTGGAAAACAAGATCTAAATTATTGATGCAGAATGAAGATTCGTGCTCCATTCATATACCCTGGATTACCCGACCTTTAATATGCACACCTCATCCCTAAAGGGAAGTATCTGTAAAGAGATAAACTCAGGTCAGAGAGGCAGTAGACATTTACACACACACACACACACACATATATATATATGCATACATACACATACATGCTAATGGTAGTGTTGATCCAAACCAACCACCACTGTAAAACTAAGATGTTTCTTCTTCTAGATCCATTACTCATACCAGGACCACCGAAGGGATGGCATGTGTCCTCATCCCAAAAAAATCAGAGATTTGAGGGAAGCTCACAATCCCAATGAGATAGAACCATCCCTGTAAGTAAGAGCCTGACTACCCATTCCATAGCTTGGAACTAGGTAGGAGGTGGCTGAGCTGGGCTGAAAACTTATATAACCCAGCAAAAGACATGGTGAAGAAGCTAAACCAAAGGCTAGATCTCTGAACTGTAGAACCTGATCCCTGTACACGAAACGTAGCTAAAGGCAACATGAATTAACTATGAGAATGTGGAGAAATGCCTCAGCAACCTCAAACTGGGACATCCACAGACCTGGTGAAGAATGCCAAAGTAGGGCAAGAAAGGACACCATTGTGGACCAGGGAGGATCGAGGAATAGGCTGAGATAAGAAAGAACAAATATCATTCGCCAATCTCCCCTTGTCCCAGGTACAACAAATAAACAGGAATTACATCCTAGAAGAACAGCATCAACTGTCATTACCACC